GAGCAGGTGTGTTAGAACTTACTGCCAACGTTTTTTTCGAATTTACTCCGTAGAAGATGCTTTCCAAATGAAGGCACCCGTCATTTAATTTCCGTTTGCCCATTTGCCTACCCAGTCGTGCTTCTAGAATTTCATTTCAAAATCTCTCTAGTACCATGATACAACTAGGTCTCTAGCATCGGGGGTAGTAATGCTGGGATTGGCAAGATTCTGCTATCCCTGATACCGCTCAGGTTCACCCAGTACAATCCTGTGTAATGTGCCTGAAGTTCCTGACTTGTTTAACACTTTTATTGGCGAGGTTTCGGCCATGCCTTCGTTAGGCCACAGATTACAATTCCAAAGCAAATAGCTAGAGCAAACGGTACATCAAAATCTTTGCATACCACCAATTAGGGGGAACAGATCTAGGGAGGGGGTTACAGGAACATAACCCTGGCTGATATAAAATTAAAAATAGTGCGCGATCAAGTGGTCCGCGAAATGCCTCCGTGCATTTGGCATCGTAGTCTTCATTCATAAAAAATGTACCACATCGACGCTCGATACGGCGAGATAGGAAGCTAGAGACGCGTGATTATTGCAACCATTGCAACCACTTGCAAGCGGCTTAGCGGAATCGCGTGTATACATAGCGTTGCCTGGAGCGTCGTAGGGCGGTTCCATATGCTCTTACCAGGAAGTGATTGCTCTAGAATCCTGCTTATTGGGCTTGTGCTCATGATGACCTCGTTCAAGGCGGCAGCCGCACTGCTCAGGAGGGTCTCTGTTCAGAGTGTTCCTAAAGTTTTTTTGCTTCCCTCTACTGCGAAATTACTTGTGGGCATCTGGTTCATGATTGAGCACCTACTATCCGTAACACTTGGTCGCGAGTATTGTTTTTGAAGGCAGTTGGCACGATGGTTTCCCACTCGGCCTAAAACGCTAATGGCGAAAGAACGGAGTGAAACGGTCAAAATCCGGCGAAGAAAAAGCCTCCGTTCTCAGTGACTTGAAAATCGATTTCGGACGAGGCATCCTACCCATTCACCGCTACCGAAGAATCGGCTGCATTACAGCGGGGCGCCAAAAAAAAAAGTCATTCTCTGGCCGAGTCACCATATCAGCGAGTTATTCCAGCCCAGACAGACAGGAAGTGGGATATGCAGCTACTCAGGCGGAGATACCCAAGATCTTCCCTTATATAAGCTGGAGCACGCTGCCGCCAATCGCCTTCATGTACGCCAAAATATGAAGTCATCTCCAGTCGCGGCCTGACTGGAGAACACCTTTGGAATTCACGTCGCCTCCAAACAGCTGCGAAACTTCTTGAATGAAGTCATCCACAGATAGCTACCTGGAGGTCAGTACTCTTGATCTGCAAGACCTCCCACATCAGCGGCTGACGGCAAAACGTCCGCTACGGTCTAGACATCATCGTTCACCGTAATCCCGAGGCGCAAGTTCATGGTCGGACCGGCCCGTACCTGCAAAGAGGGGAAGACCGATATTTTCTTTGTAGACCCCGACTGAAGGTGAGCGCTGGCGGTTACATCAAGTAACTCGAGAAGAATATCCTCCCTACATGTGGTCGCCCGTACCTTCTTGGAGACCTTGTGCTGCTACAGGTTTGGGTGCCACCACATGGAATCAAAGGGTTTTGGAAAACTCGCCGCCCTACTCGGATGGGAAGAACGTTGATGTGACCTGGAAAAGATCTCAGTATTAAGCGGCGGCTCCCTGAACTAAACCCTTCAATCACTCAGATTCGGCCGGAGCTTCAAGCGAGGGTGCGTCTCAGTGGCGGAGATAACTCAACGATCTCGCTCCAACGCCGGTACCCACTCACCTTTCCCCGCGAATCTCCGACTGTGCGCTTCTCCAGAAGGCATGTGGCGAGTATCATTATAGTATTTAATGTGCTCTTTAATATGGTAGTAAAAATGTCCGATAAAAATTTAATAAAGTGTAACTTATAGCGCCTTGAAAGTCATGGAGGCAAAATGACTTTTTTTTTTGGCCCCCCCTGTATGTGTACCCATGTATGCATGCAGCATCACGGCCGCTTCATACCAATCCCTTCGCTTCATAATTTGCTCAGCAAATGAATGAATACGAGCGTCAGGAACGGTCGTCCGTTTGTGGGCGGGCGGGCGAGGAAGGCGTTTGGGACGGAATGTTGTTGCTCGATAGGGCGTTATAGGGGTACCCTCCTTGGAAAGGCGCCACGGAGCGCCTGTCCGAGGTCACGGAATTCTGTTAAGCCAGTCGTATAAATCCTACATCTATCTGTATAGCGATTTATCGTGCCAACTGCCTTTAGGGCGTAAGAGTGGTCGGTGATTAGCCGATGAGCCCCAAGAGGTCACGCAGCTTCTATTCTCCATTAATCTCCGGTCCTATCCTGTGTATCTCCCTCGCTTCCGTTATTTTGCTCTCCAGCTGCGTACAAATGTCTGTGCAGTGCAACCACGTCAAAGAGTGGAGCGTTCTCATTCGCGTGTTTGAGCACACGGTGCTTGGAAAAACTGCCCGGTGGGTAAGCGGCGGGGTTGGTCAACGTCCTTCCGTGCTCGTCCACACGGTTGTTCAAAGGGCGTGCAGTCTCCCCGCATGTGGAAACGAGGTCCTGAAAGGTACTTCAAGGCATCCGTCGCTTTCAAAGGTTATTGGCCGTGACGTTCATATCTTAATCCCTTCGCCATCTGAATCGTCTTTCTCTTAGTCAGACACACCACTCGGTATGCTAAGAATGTTGGTTTTTGATAAGCGCGGCTGCGCTGTCAGGGGATTCGCAGACAGCTAAGATCTGTTCTTCGGAGATAATGACGTGTGTCTGAACCCTAATTTCATAAATTGTGTTCACGTGTGCTGTAATCTTTCGAACACTGTCATTTTCAATTAAGATGGAGCTAGTTATCCTACAAATGATGATTTCTTTCTTTCTTTTTTTTGACTTTTTTGCAACGGTACGATTGATTTAGGATGGTGCATGGGTTATAAATTGTAATATTCACCATAAACTCAAGTATCACACCGCTACCCCAACCTTCCATCAATGGAGAGACGAGCAGCGGCAGGTACGTTGCTTCTCAGTCGACTTTCTTCAAAATTATCTTTGATAGGATGGCTAAAGCCAAATGAGTGATTTCTGAAGTTTGAATGTATCGATCCAATTTATCGGCATGCGAAGCTATATTTAGGTGTATGGATTGAACTTCTCATCAGAGAAAGAAGCGCGAGATTTTGTCTCGGCGGTTGGCCAAGCGATTGACTATCTCAACCATCAGTTTATTCATGGAGGAGACTATCAAGTTCCAAATGGTATGTTCTGTTTAATCCCTTTGCTCTTATGATTCGATCTTTTTTCGCTCTTTGGCTTACGGTCTCGGAGCATTATCACGATAATGAGTCACGTATCCGTTTAATGAATCCGTAAAGCTCCTTACGACCACTATAAGGTCGAACCTCATAGTGTAGCTTCCTTTTCGATAGTTCAAAACTCATATACGTCCAACTCATACGTTTTTTTTCTGGGGGGGGGGGGATGGGGATTTTATCTCTTTTTACCGGTACTAGTCTCTTGGATCCTATTCTTCTCCCAAACTATTTATTTTCCTCGGTCTACCTTCTTATAGACAATAAGTGGTGCTGGTTTTCTCGACACGATTTTACCGCGGCTTATGGTGCAGGTTTTCCTTGATTGCTGGACTGGTCTTCAAAAAGAGCAATCATGACGGCACACACGCGAACGCAGACATTCTGTTTATGACAGCAGTAATTTGCTGTGAGCGGCAGTATTTTCCAGCCAGAGCTGTTTTCTGAGCCAGCGAGTGAGAAGATGTTGTAAACCAAAAAAGTTTGTTATGAGAACTGTGGGTAGTAGGTGGTATACTCACATTTCTTCTTCTCATTTAGCCCGGTATGATACCTCAGCCTCTCCCGCCCCCACGTCCTTTCCTGTGATCTGCTCTCCATTTGATTTCCCCCATTTCACTGAGTGACGGTTGTAGCTACCTTGCAGTAGCATTCGTTAGCTAATTTCTGTCTCTCCAACTCGTCAGTCTTGGTTTCAGTCTTTTGAATGATCACCATTCAGAACTAGTGTGTTGTACATAGTTGTAAGGTCCTGTGGGTGAACAGCGCATGAGGCCGTTGTTCTCGATAAGAGATACTTCGCGTGAAAGCATTATGCGCAGGGCACGTCGCACGTTGGGAATTCCTGGCGAGGGAAGTCATATTTGCCGTTAAGATAAGTGTTTTCTGATTTTCCTCAGTTTCCCCTGTTTCACACGCTATGTAGTCCCACTCTCCCCCGACAGTAACTTCAAAGAAGAAACAGAAGGGTTATTCCGTAAAAAAGTTAGAAAGACTAGACTTAGCAATGGGTAGAATTTAAGGTGGTTAGTAAGACGGGGAAGGGGATCGGTAGCAGGATGGATTGTTTGAGGTCGGTCCATTTTTTTGCAAATTCCCCCCCTCCCCCACGCCGCGGGCCGTGCCCTGATTATGTGGTTCGATCATCACTGTGGTACTTAAAGAAGGGCGCGAGGTGAAGGTGATGGTCTCGGTTGGCTCGTGTAATTAAAAAAAGGGTAATCTGTCCGAACCCCCGGATTATTTTAGTTTGAACAGTTTCAATTCACCAGGTGATTTAGGAGGATCATTAATTCACTGTCTCGATTCGAACTGCTGTCATAATTGAAAGTTTGATAACCTTCCCAGCACTTTACTATTTGATTTGATAGGTATCACATCATTTGCAGAGCAACTAGTACGGCCTCCATCCCCCCCGACCCATCCTTAGAATCGGTAGAAGCAGCTTTGTTGCAGTTCGGAACGGGGGAGGGGGCATTGTGATCTTTCGGTGCTTCCCATCGATGTGTGGGGCTATCAAGCGGAACACTAAAGTTTATAAGTTTCATCAGTGTGAGACTTGTAAACCGAAACTAGTAAGGCAGCGAAGGTGCAAAATACAACCATACCGTGCTTAGAATCTCCAGTCTCAGCTCTGTCAATTCATCATATTGATTTCACGACCCAGGTACACATAGCTAGAGCAGAGATGGTCGTTCCGTTGAGCGTGAATGGGGCATCAGAAACCAATCCGTTTCTCATGAACATCGTCTTCGTTAGATTCAGCCGTAGACCGATTTTTCCACACGCGCAGTCGAATCAGCCAGCATTCGTTCCGCTTGCTCGATGTTTGGTGTTATCAAAACGATGTCGTCAGCAAAGCGGAGATGGTGTAGTTGCCGACCGTCGATCTTCACTCCCATGTCTTCCCATTCCAGTTGACGCATGACGTTCTCGAGAGAGGCGCTGAAGAGCTTGGGCGAGATGGTGTCGCCCTGTCGGACCCCTCTCTTCACATCAATGATGATCTCCTCCGAGGTTATTTTGGGTATTTCTAGGTGCTATGACTTACAAGACGGAGGTGGTGTGAGGGCAAATGGCACGCGTCATCAACTTCGCGACGATCCGAGATTCAATCTCGAATCGACTCTTGCCCATGCCACCAAGCCTCCAGGAACGCGTAACATGGTAGCGTGCCTTACGAGAGGCAATAGAACACATGGCTTGTACATCGCTGCCCCGCGAAGTTAATACAAGCCGTATCGATTCATGAGTCGACTGCCGGTTCGTGAAGTAAAAGATGCAGTCAGCGCATCCTCAAGAGGGGTGATCAACGGCGAAGACTTTTCCTTTTTCATCCCTTATGGCTTTACGAGGTTCAAACTTTTAGTCGCTATGTTAGTTCTCCGTATCTAAAGGTGGTCTTGGAGTAGTAGTAATAATATTGCCAATGAACAGTTTGATGCATTTCTAGCCAATCGGGGATTACTTTGCCATAACAGGAAGTGTCCTGATTGCAGATTCAAACTCTCACGAGGAAGGTCAATCAAGGCGTGCTCCGCTTTTTCAAAATGGTTTTTTTGCGCATTTTGTAGGGGCTTGCACATAGACCACAGAAGTGGGGTTCATTTTCGCTGAGCGGCCCCAGGAACGCCAAAAAAGGAGCGAAAAGTATGTCTGTGTACCTCCATATGAGGGACGTTGAAGCGGCCATACCTGGGAGCAAATTGCGTCGGCGCCGCAAATAAGTGTCGAAATCTAATCAGGACTGTCGATCCCCTATGGACGAACTTCCAGCCAAAATTTTTTTCCGATTTTTTCGGGTTGTGACTGACCATTTGACCGGCGTCTCACATCTTCGTGAAGGCAGGAGAATGGAACGACGACAAGTCGCAGAACTGTTCCGGGCAGAACAGCCCGTCGTCGCAAAGAGCGCGCACCTAAAGGTCCTTTCATGTGATGGCACATCAAGTGTGGGTGGTATGCGAACATTCGTGAAAAGCATCCTGGGCCTGTTGCCGATCCGTACCGCTCTGCTGCTTTAGTAAAGGATGTCGCTTTCCTATACAAGAGAACAATAATTGCACTCATTTAAGTTCGGCGCAACTTCTTTGAAAACCGACCCGAATGGATACTTCCCTTTCCTTCTTCTTTGCATGAATTTCATCGATATTGTTAGTTTTATTTTTGTAAATCAATAAAATGAGGGAATCCGTATAATGAGGCATTTTAGACTGCGATAGACTCTCGGGCACAATCCAACACTCATAGGCGCCATTGACTATCAACAAAAAATTTTTTGGCTGAAAAGATTGTCTACGGGGATAATCGATAGCCCTGATTACGATTTTGACGCTTATTTTCAGCGCCGACGTAATTTAGCGCCCTTATATTTGTGTACTTAAAGACAGCTCTCGCGTAAAAGTGTCATGGATAGTTGATGTTCAATTATGAAACAGTAGCTGATAGTATTCCTTAGAAAAGAAAAAAAAACGCAGAAGAGGTCCTCAAGAACTCATTAACAAATCGCGCCCTTGCAGTCTCACTTCCTTGCGGTCTCTGTGCAACCCCTAGATCACAGATCACTTTGTCACATCTCCCAGTAGTGGATATCATGGAATGCGAAGAAAAGAAGTGTTGCAAAGCATCATGAATGCGAAGAAAAGAATACAAAAAACAACAGAAACATAGAGGAAAAACTCTTGAAAAGAAAAGGAAACATTTAAAAAGCCGGCGTCCGAACTTAGGGTTACGGTAGCGTGCATGTTTTAGTGTAGTGAAGTGCGTCGAGCTTTTGCACCACGAAAATTGGGTCGCTCGTGATTTTTACGCGTTTTATCTTGCGAGATGTGTTGGAGTTGACTGTATGTGCTCCTGATTAATAAAATGTAATAAAGGAGAGCAGAATCATTCATGGGCATGAGCGCTGTCAGCGAAAAGGACATGCAATTCCGATTAATGCCCGCCGCCCCAACAAAGAACAACTGAGCTGCCCTCCGTCGGAGGGCATCTAGCAAGTGGGCGGTCCAACTGAGCGGGCGTTAGAACTAGAACTTTCAGCGGCTGTAGCTCGCTCCTCGGCTGTAGCTCGCTCCTCGCTCGCTGTGGAGTCGCGAGAGTGGGATAGTCTCTAGCTTGGGGGCTGTACTACTTGCACAAGGAAGGACGACCATGTACTTGAGCGCGGGGGCTGTCTTAACGCATCCATTGGAAGAAACATGTGGCTTCATATTAGCGATAAATGGCACCATAGCTACAAGTGAGTTCCATATTCGTGATTCGGGCATTGTCTGATCTATAAAGATCAACTTTCAACTACGGTCTTGCTTAATACTATGTAAAACTTGAAACAGTTGAATAGCACCGATTCATTTAGTATCCATTGAAAACGTGCCCATAAATGGCAGTTATCGAACTTATATTCATGCACGGACATTTATGAACGGAAGGAAAGCAAAAGCTGAAAAATGCAAAAACTTGCACACTGAGGGGAGTCGAACCATCAACCCCACCCCACTGTCCGCTTGAGAATCCTCCACGCTATCCACTAGGCCATCCGATCGTTGTTGCTGAACACAGCCTCCGATCGTTGAAGAAACCATTCCAAGAAGCCGTTCACTCTTGATCACGTGCCACAAGTAAGACCCCATACCCCGACTACTTTTCTCTTCGATTCCGATAGTACCTTTATAGGGACCCTCCACTCAGCAACTGGTCAAAGTTTCAAGCGGTTTACAGCTCGTAGAGGCTCAAAAACAATCAGTTTCCATAGGTTTCTTTTTCGCTCCTTTTTTGGCATTCCAGGGGCCGCTCAGCGAAAATGAAGCCCACTTTTATGGTTCATGGGCAAGGCCCTACAAAGTGCAAAGAACCATTCGAAAAAGCGGGGCACGCCCTGAACGACTTCCCTTGTCAGTGCTACTGGCCCTTATCATTTCGTGGCGTATCGTATCGTTCGCATGCTCAAC